TAGACACAGAAAAAACATTTGATAAAGTTCAGCACCCATTTATAATAATAATTCTTACCAAAGTGGGTATAGAGGGAACATACCTCAACATAATAAAAGCTATTTATGACATACTTACAGCCAGCACAATACTAAATGGTGAAAAGTTGAAAGCCTTCCCACTAAAATCTGGAGCAAGACAAGGATGCCCACTCTCACCACTTCTATTCATCATAGTATTGTAAGTCCTAGCTGTAGCAGTCAGGCAAGAAAAAGAAATAAAAGTGATACAAATTGGAAGAGGAGAGGTAAAATTGTCATTATATGTGGATGACATGATGCTACATACAGAAAACCCTAAAGGCTCCACACAAAAACTACTAGAGCTGATAAAAAAAATTGAGCAAGGTAGCAGGACACAAGACTAACATACAGAAATCAGTTGCATTTCTTTATACTAACAATGAAATATCAGAAAAGGAAAGTAAATAAACAATCACTTTGAAAATCACATTCCAAAATTAAAATACTTATGAATAAATCTGACCAAGGCAGTGAAAGACTTATATGCAGAGAACTATAAAACTTTGATTAAGGAAATTAAAGATGACTTAAAGAAATGGAAAGATATCCCATGCTCTTGGATTGGAAGAATTAATATTGTTAAAATGGCCATACTACCCAAAGCAGTGTACAGATTTAACGTGATCGCTATCAGATTACCCCTGACGTTTTTCACAGAACTGGGACAAATAATCCTAAAATTTAATATGGAATCACAAAGACCCAGGATTGCTAAAGTGATACTGAAGGAGAAGAATGAAATTGGAGGAATAACCCTCCCAGACTTCATGCAATGCCACAAAGCTACAGTAATCAAAGCAGTGTGGTACTGCCACAAAAACAGACATATGGATCAATGGAACAGAGCAGAGAGCCCAGAAATAAACCCACAGACATACGATCAATTAATCTGTGGCAAAGGAGGCAAGAATATACAATGGAGAAGACAGTCTCTTTGGCAAGTGGTGTTGGGAAAACTGGACAGCCACATGTAAATTAATGAAGTTAGAACACTCCTTCATACCATACACAAAAATAAACTCAAAATGGCTTAAAGACTTGAATATAAGACATTGTAAACCTCCTAGAAGAAAACATAGGCAAAACATTTCCTGACATAAATCTTAGCAATGTTCTCCTAGGGCAGTCTACCCAGGCAATAGAAATAAAAGTAAAAATAAACAAATGGGACCTAATTAAACTTACAAGCTTTTGGACAGTAAATGAAACCATAAGCAAAACAAACGACAGCCTATGGAATGGGAGAAAATATTTGCAAGTGATGCAACTAACAAAGACTTAATTTCCAGAATATTTAAATAGCTTATACATCTTAATAACAACAACAACAAAAAACTCAATCCAAAAATGGGCAGAAGACCTGAACAAGCAATTCTCTAGTGAAGAAATACAGATGGCCAATAGGCGCATGAAAAAAATGCTCAATATCACTCATTATCAGAGAAATGCAAATCAAAGCTACAATGAGGTATCAAGTCACAGTAGTCAGGATGGCCATCATTAAAAAATCCACAAACGATAAATGCTGGAGAGAGTGTGGAGAAAAGGGAACCCTCCTACACTGTTGGTGGGAACATAGTTTGGTGCAGCCATTATGGAAAACAATATGGAGATTCCTCAAAAAACTAAAAACAGACTTACCATATGATCCAGCAATCCCACTCCTGGGCATATATCCAGAAACATCCTTAATTCAAAAGATACATGTACCCCAATGTTCATAGCAGCACTATTTACAATAGCCAAGTCATGGAAGCAACCTAAATGTCCATCAGCAGATGACTGTATAAAGAAGTTGTGGTGCATTTATACAATGGAATACTACTCAGCCATAAAAAGAGTAAAATAATTTCATTTGCAACAACATGGATGGACCTAGAGATTGTAGTTCTAAGTGAAGTAAGCCAGAAAGAGAGAAAAATAACAAATGATATCACTCATATGTGGAATCTAAAAAAAGAAAAAAGAAGACACTAATGAACTTACCTACAAAGCAGAAACAGACTCAGAGACATAGTGAACAAACTTATGGTTACTGGGGGGAAAGAATGTGGGAAGGCATAAATTAGAAGTTTGAGATTTGCAAATATTAACTACTGTATATAAAATAGATAAACAAGTTTCTTCTGTAGCACAGGGAACTATATTAAATATCTTGTAGTAACGTATAATGAAAAAGAATATGAAAACGAATGAACGTGTATATATATGTATGAATGAAACATTATGTTGCACAGCAGAAATTGACACATTGTAAACTGACTATACTTCAATAAAAATAAAATAAAATGTTCCAGAGCTTCAGTCATGTGCAACAAAAGGTACAGGGTTAGGAATAACTCAAATGACACTGACACTGATCTACTTTTCTCTCAGAGGGCAATTTGTGTTTGCTTTGTATTCTGTTAATCTCATTTTTTATTTTCACCATGATATATAGATCCTAAATAGCACATGACTAGCACTTACACGGATGAATTTACCTCTTAAATTCCACATGAATGATGTTTTTCATCAGCCATTAAAGATTTTCCTTTTCAAAGTGTATATTGCTCCAGTGTGGTCTCCTTGTCCAGGTCTGCCTGTAGACGCTTGCTCTTGATGCTGATGGCTCAGCAGGGAGCTTCTGCCTTGGGCTGCAGGCTGCTCTAGGGGAATTTGACACAGGTGGTGGTGGGGGGCTTGAGCAAGCCCCTGATTGTTGGTCCAATTCAGGCTAAAGTCTTTATATGATCACCAGGACTAAGTATTACGTGCGCTGCACAATCAAGTAGCTAATTGAACATTAGAGGCAATTAAATATGTAGTCTTTTTGTGTCAGTGTCCATCATAGTCTCTGAATTTTATTTAGAGTTTCAGAATTAATCTTTTAGTTAGGGAAAAGAAAGAGGTTAACTCTTTGTCAAATAAGATCTGATGCTACTGGATTTCTGGCATCTCACCCAGGGGAAGGAATCAGTCAGGTGACCTTTCATGTAATTATTTTAAATATGTTAGAGGCTTTGCCAGTATTTGGAGGGCAGGGAATGCCTAAATTGAACTAAATTGAACTCTCAGTCACATCCCTCCCCACCCTGGAGAGGAGGGTGGGTCCCTCAGGGTTTTAATTCTAAAACATAACATCAGAATAGAAAACAAAGTAGCATATAATTATCTGGATTGGAACTTATGCCACCAGACATTTGGACATTGAGAAATCATTTCAGATGCCTAAAAGTGCTTTATCTGAGGTTGAAAAACAGACTATTGTTTTTCCCCCTGAATTTGTTCTATAATGTGGTGCTATAATTTCTTTGTTGCCTTTCAGTACTCTTTTCACAAAATGTAAATTTAAGCTTTAGTTTTTAAATGATGATAATATAATCTAGAAGTCTGATGGTGAGTGGAAGAAACTTGATAACAGTTGTATTTGTTTTGATATAAACTCTACTTGCTAAATCGTTTCCACTTATGTTTGTTAATATATTTGAAGAATTTTCTTTAAAATAAGTGGCAGATGGTTTTATACCATCACTAGCAGCCTTTTGGGGAAGGTCATGGATATCATAGAAGCCTTTGAGAATTTAATAGAAACTAGGAGCCCTTGGAAAAGGTAACTAAATCTTAAATGTTTGCTTGCTGTTTCACTTTAAGATTCCCTAAAATTTCACTGTGGACCTCAGTTTGATATACCTTTGCTCCAGGAGGATTTGAAACAGTATCTGGGGCCAGGGTCACCAGAGTTCCTGTAAAGACCATGGCCTGACTTAACTCTTATTTTTGATCAGTTGTGCATTTGTGATGAGGAAACACTGAAGGGAGATTTCAGACACGAGGGGTTATTGCATCAGTTCTTTCACCAAGTTTTTAATCTTGAGTTTTCTATTTGATTTTTATCATTATAGTCTATGCTGTTTTCATTTGAAATGCTTTTGTTTAAGGATTTGTTCCCTGAGGATTTGTTTTGCTTTGCTTCTATATGAAATGCTTAAAACTACTTCTTAATAGTTTGGAATGGTGGGGTCCCTCTGAGCAGATAACTGGTTAAGTATTTATTATTCCACTTTGTTTTTATGCAAAGGGAATTTTATAGGTTAACAAAATGAATGTCCACTATGCCTTCTGCGGTAGCCTGAAGAAGATTTGATTTTTTTCTTTTAATTTTTACTTGACATTGGAGACTATTTTGTTTTAACAGATTAGAAGGACATGCTAAATATTCTTCTACAAATTAGTTATTAAAGTGTCTAGATATCTTTAGTGATGAAGTCTGATCCTCATTTTCACAACTGAAAAAGATAACTCTCAGCTTTGGAACTTAATCTGTCTTTCTTGGGAGGTTGATAGGCAGGTGGCGCTTCACCTGACGCCATCCTTACAGTGTGTTTGATCACAGCTGCGTGCAGTGCTCTTAAATGGAAATATTTGAACAGAAAGCCAGATTGCTCAGGTCGTTTTGGCTTTTAGGGATGAAGGAAAAATAGGATATAACCATCCAACTTACTGGTTCTAATAAAATCTTTCTAACAATGCTTACAGCCAGCTCTAATACCTCTGTAACTTCCATTTCAGTTTATTAAATAATAAAATTTTATGTGCATACAGATAGGAACTTTCTCTATAAATATTCTTCCAGAAAAGGGAAAATTCTGCCATTGGGTTGCTGGCACACACCTCTGGTTCACATTAGTGCTTGTGATTATGTGAATGAGAGCAGATACCAGTTTTTATGTATACTATTTACTGTAACAACTTACAGTGTATGCCCAGGCCTTTTGGAGGTAATATCAGATAAAAGTTGCTTTATTGTCCTTTATTTGGTTTTAAAACCTGCTGATATAACATCTGTTGGCTGTATATTTAAAACTAATGCGTTTCCTTCCTTTTATTCTCTTTTGCTATCCCTTTTCTTTTCTGCTTATCCTCCAAATTGCTGCTTTCACCCTTGCTCCAATCAGCTTGACTCTCAGGTCAGTACTTTCAGTTTTTCTTCTAACTGCTTTTCCCCTCTAAGTTCAATTTATTGCTTGCACTTGTTTAACAAACACATTTCTGAAATGATTTTCCTCTGGCCATCACATTTTTTCCCTGTTTCATCCCATGCCTAGGGAAGGCTTATTTTATGAGAAGCCTGTATAGGTGGGAAAAGGCAAAGAAGAAGATGAAGATAAATCACCTTTGGATTATTTGATACATTCTATTCCTGGTTTATAAAATCAGTAAGAGAAATCATTGCAAAAACTCCTGAGTGCGTTTCTCTGGAGCAGCTTAGAAAACTGGCTGCATGATGATAAAACATGAAGCAGTGGAAAAAACAAAATTCAGGATGCTAAATTTAACCTCGAAGAACAAAAGATTTGCCCATGACACAGCAACTTGAAAGCTAAATTTAATAGTGCAAATCGTTCAGACTTTTCGCTTAATAAATCACTGTGTTTTGAAAGATTTATAATACTTTTTTTAAAGTCACTTTTGAAAATTATCAGTGTCTTAGTAACATATTGAACACACATGTTATTTCCTGTCATTGTTTTGGTTTTAAACTTTTTAACTTCATTTTTATTAGCCATAAGACATACTTTAATTACCTAGGGCATAGCATATGGAACCAAATGTAAAACTAGTTTCAGTGTTGACTGAGTGCACCCCAATATTAAGTAGCAAAATGGACATTTTGTTTGAAAATGCATCCCAGTTTTGATTCTCCTAAGTTAGGGAGCTCAAGTCAAAAATGGGTTCTCCTTTTAGTTAAGGAAGACTTCTCTTTCCAATAATGCCTAGTAATATCTAGTGATTTCTTTATCAATCAGTGAGTTTATTAGAGAATGTTCATTGTATTCTTTGGACTACCCAGACTTAAAAAAAGACTCAAATTAAGTTGGTAGCCAATACAGTTGCTCTTTTGAGAGGCAAACAAAACTGTATTATTTTCTTCTCCTTATTCAGGGTCTGCACCTCTTCATTCCGTTTAGTGCTCATCACCTAAGCCAGCAGAAAATAATTTCAAAACAAGGCCTCCTGCCCACACACGTTTTGTTCCCCCTGCATGCTCCCGACCCTGGTAGGGAGACTCATAGTCCTTGAAATTGAAACCACTTGTCTGCTATTCTCACATACCACACTGGGTGTCCCACAGGAACTGCCTTGAACTTCATCACACTGAAGGAAGCCCATCCTCAATAGTCCCCAAAACAGAAATCTAAATAGAGATTAAAAGCAGTGCCTCAGAACTGCTCTCACCAAAAACCTAGTGACTGTTGATTCACTTTCTGGTGCCCCTATATGCAGAAACAGACATCATAACGAGGGTAGGGGAGGAGGGGCCTGGGCCACATGGCATCTGAACCCTTCCTCCAAGTTTTGGATTAGCTCATTTAACAAAGCTTTAAGCTTTTCTCCTTGCCTGTCTTTTTTGTTTTCTTTCTCCTTTTGCCATCCCTTTGCTACCCCTAATCTGCTCCCTTGAGACCAGAGACCCCTGTCACTGTCACACCTCAGGCTGCCTGATTTGGCCTTCAGATGTTGTCCACAGGTATTCTGCTGTCTTTTATGCACCAGGAACTGTATTGTGCAGTTATTTTGTTTTTTTCCTGTTGCGTGGTGAATGAACATGAACTCAGATTCTCAGAAGATGGGATGCAGGGTTAGAGCTGGAAGAGTTGTGGATTATAAGGTGTTCTTTGAACAAGGGTATGCTAATTGGGTTTGGCAAAATGTGCAGGCTGAGTCTAACTGGGAGAACTATAGTGATGAGAACAAAATTCAGATCATTTCAATATATTTAACCTCTTGCCTCAAATGAACATATTGGAGAAAATGTACAATGACTGTAAACAGTCTGTAGTTATATTATTAGTGTAGGAGGAATTGGGCAGCCCTGATCTCCCGGAAACATCTCCTATGGAGTCCTGGAAGCTTTTTGAGCTTTAGCAAAGTTTCCTGAGTTAACTATGCTTTTTTTCCCAACCACTTACAGATTTACCAGTTAAAACAAATGAAATATAACAATTGAATTGAATATAGGATCTCTGGCCCATGTGCTTTCTTTATATGGCTTACGATTGAGATACATATATTTGTGTGTGCATACATACATATGTATGTATGTACATTTATCATATTAAAATAATCTGACCTTTCTTACCATAGAAGTGTGTAGTCTGCCCTGTACCTGCCTGTCTCCCAATCTGAAGTTTGAAAACTTTGCTAGTTCTTGGTTCTTTTCTATCTACTGTGCACTCTGTGCGAAATTCTCCCCTCCAACTATTTTTTAAAGTAGTCTCATTTCTTTTTCAAATTCTGTGTAGTCTGTCTTGCTTCAGTTCAGGTGGACAGATGTTAAGTATTGGGTTTGATAAAACGCAAATGTAGTATTCTAAACCTACTTAGGGTCTCACTCTAGAAAACTGTGCTTCTGTCAAGAATCTTTTTACACACAAAGCAGTGGGAAACTGGAGAGATTAAGCAAGATCCCTGCATTGCACTCAGGGGAAAATTTATGTGAAATTTGCTCATTTCTAGTAACTATTTGTGAGACTAGTGTGTGACTTAAGAGAGATGAGGTTATCTAGTTAAATGTATGCAACAATTGATCAAAAATACACCTACCCTTTAGGATTCAGTTCAGAATCTTGCCAGAGAATCAACCAAGTGAAAATAGAAGCCTCAGGCTTCTTGTGGGCTCCCCCAGCCTCTGTTTTGCTCTGGATTCTGGGTCAGCTGCTTGTTTGTGCCTCAATATATCCTTTTGGAGACGAAGTAGGTGTCTTTGGAGCAGGTCTTCTAGGATCCTCCCTGCAAATATCTAATGGAGGGACTGTTGGTGATCAGCCTTGTGCATCATCCTGGCGAGCAGGCTCAAGCTGATGGCTAGCGCCTGGCAGCAGGTGTGAGCTCATTGTTACAGAGTCATTTCAAACACTCTACCAAAATAAACTCTTTGTGTTGTTTCCTAAAGCTGAATACTGCACTCTCAATCCCTCATTCTTCTAGCAAAAGATGAAGTCACTACTCCTGGACCTCAGAGACTTGTTGCCCAAGGAAATAATAATAAACATTTTGCTGAGAACATCACCTTGCTGCCTTGCGGTTTGCTCTTTGCTAGGATCAGTTCATGGCCCCTTTCCCTCCACAAATACAGAGTGAGCTCCTCCTGTGTGCCAGGCTGGGCATTACATGCTGGCTTGGCGTTTTCAAAAAATAGCTGATGAAAAATTGACCAAACTGTTTAAGAAATGCTGTGTGTTACATTCTTCATTTTTATATTCACCGTGCATGTTGAAATTAGTAATAATGGAAATAACAGAAGTAGCAGCAACAGGAATAACATTAAACATTAAGTGCCAGCACTAAATTAATCACTTTTATGTAGTATTTACTTCTCACAACTGTATGAGGTTGGGACTGTCATTTCTTCCATGTTAGAGAAGAGGAAACTGGAGTTCATAAAAGTTAAATATGTTGCTCAAGTTAATACAGCTAGTAAGTGAAGGCATTGGAATTTCCCCCCAAAAGTCAATCCTTTCTGATTTACTTAAAAAAATTTTTTTGCGACTTCTGTTCCATTTGGATAGTAAAAGCACTGAGAGGCCTGCAGGGGGAAAACTTGTACAATGTGTTCAATCTGTAGTTTCCCAAATATGGTGTTCATATAATACATTCCATGAAGCATTTTAGGGGAATATTGTCCTGCCTGCTGTGCAGCCAGCCTCTTCCTTCATCCTGAGATAAATGCGCTACCCCCCCCACCCACCACCACCACTTCCTCCACCCCGAGCTGGTTCCTTATGCTCAAATCCTGCCCCTTGGCCACCTCAGGTATAACCTTTTCTGCCCAGCCTTCCCTGAATGCCTCAAGCAGAAGCAATTTCTCTCTTCCTTGAATTCCTCAGAGCTTTATCCAACCCTTTTCCTTGGCCTGTGTCATATCCTGCTTCGAATTAGGCAGTTAAACAGTGTACTATGTCTTTGAGTAGACAGCCACCTCCTCTACCACTGGATGAGTCTCTTGCTCCCTGTGGTGGTGTGCCACACACTGAAGGTGGCAGTCATGCTCCTGAATGTTGTTGAAAAAATGACTCTTGAAGAAAGGAACTTCCGTTAGCTTTGTCTCACCCCTCCTGCTTTTCATTTGGTCCCCACAGAGATTTGCTGGTGGGCTCTTTCTGGAGGCTGAGTTGACTTGCACTAGATATCAAATCTAGCTTCAGACAGGAAGCCTTAAGAAAAAATATGATTGTTATTTTTTTATCAAGCTGGATGTTTGGAAATTCACGAAAAGTAAAGACACAAATAAAAGAAGGGAAAAGATCTCCTTCTGAACTTACCTAATTTTCTCCCTCCTTCCCTCCTTTCTTGACTATTCATTAAAATCCTTCTTGCAAGGGACTGTGCAGGATGTTGGGGGTATAGCATGACCCTCCCCTCACTGAATTCAAAGACCAGTACTTCCTATAAGGAAGGATTTGGCCAGTAAGAAAAATAGTTTGTCCCATTTATACTAATAACTGGAAAAACTGGGTTTCAGGTGTTTTTTAAAATTCCTTTTCCTGTTGGGGTTGAAGGGGTTATCCACAGGTCAGAAAATCATTTCCCTCTTTAAAGCTGCCTTATACTAATGCTGACATTTCTGGTGAAGTGTCAGAAAATTTTATGCCCAAGTAGAACTGGTAGAAAGCCAGAAATCAGTTGATTTTGCTTTGGGTGCAAATATTTTATTGGGGATGGAAAAAAAGTTGTTTTCCCTGATTTACAGCTCCTGCAAACATAAAGTGCGTTCTATATTTAGAGATGGTTTTGAACTTTGAGGTGTAGCCAGAGATTGGTTCTTGCACCTTTCCGACCTGGCCTTAGTGGGACTTGCCGTGGCTAATGTTTTGCTGAGCCAGCTCCAATTTGTAGAACTAGGGCTTTAAGCTCTGTATTTTTTTTTTTTAATTTTTAGCTTTTGCTTGAGTTGCTGCTCTGGCAC